GATTTGAATGGTCTTCCTTCAAAATCTAACACATTTGTTTCATATCACTCGTTTTTTCTGGTGTTTTTTTATTTTTTAATTTTTTTTTTACCCTTGAAAATGCTGTCAATATTTGAAACTGTAACATGTTAAAACAAAGCAACTTGAATTTTGCAACAAACAAAACCTAGTAAATCAAACTCACAAATGTAGTTTCAAGCAAATTGTTAGTATATTATTATATGTTAGCATGGTATATTATTATACTTTAGAATATTATATGTTAGCATTGTATATTATTATACTTTAGAGACATTATTATTATGTTTAGCTTTAGCTTTTATAGCAGGCTAGCTTTATGCTTTCGGCTAGCTTTATGCTTTCGGTGCCTCGCATCCAATGTATATCACAGGCTATAAGAAGAGAGCTAGGCTCCCTTTGTAAATTAACAAAATAATATACACATCTCATTTATTCACTTGCTCTCTCTCTCTCTCTCTATCAATTTATCTTACATGGTATCAGAGCCCAATAATACAATTCTGGCATTCTTCAATTTTGGTGCTTAGTCCCGTACACAGTGGAACTACACCAAACAGCTCGGAATCTCCTTACGATTCCAACGGCACCGAGCCCGTCACCAGAAACTCTCTCACGCGCTCTCACGCGCCGCCTCTTTGCTCGGCGCGTCTCTGCTTCCGTTGCCACGCTCACATGCGCCTTCACGCGCCTTCCACTCTGCCCTTTCGTGCGCCGCGCCTGCTACCATGCACCCGCGTGCGCCTGCTACTGTGCACCCGCGTCCGCCATTCGTCTACCGTGAGCCGCACGTACGCCGTTCCGCTATTGTGCACCCGCGTGTGCCGTTCTGCTACTATACGCCGCACGCCCTCTCTGCTACCGTGTGCCGCACGCCCTCTCTGCTAACGTGCGCCGCTGACATCATCTTCCATCCTGCTGACATCATCTCTACACAGCCCACCTTTCCTAGCTATTTTCAGCCTCCGGACTCACTGGTACACTCTGTTTTACCTAATTTTGCTCCTACAGGTCTATTCCTATCAATTTAGCCCTACTCAACTATTATTATGGATCGTCATGATGCCTCCCATCCCATTTTCGTTATTTTGAATGGTTCCAACTATGTTCTATGGGCCCAAGCCATGTCCTCCTTCCTCAAAAGCAAGAAGCTCTGGCGAATTGTCACCAGGGATGTGACTAAACCGGTGAAAGACAGTGCCACTAATGAAACTACTGCTCATACTACTACCTATGAAGACCGACTTGAGGAATGGGACAGTAAGAATTACCAAATCATTACCTGGTTTCGTAATACCTCTATTACCTCTATCAGTCTTCAGTTTGGTCGCTTTCAGCTTGACTCTGTAACTACTCCTGCAAAAGACATTAGGGATTTTTTGAAAGAACGATACCAGACTACTGGTCTTGCCCATCAATATCAACTTCAGAACCAACTTCACCGCATGAGCCAAGAATCCACTCAGTCCATTAATGACTTCCTTTCTCAAATGTACTCTGTTTGGGATCAGCTTGCTCTTTCAGAACCAACCTGGCATGACCCCGAAGATGCAGTTTTATTTACTAACCATCGCAACCAGCAAAGGTTGGTGCAATTTCTCATGGCTCTTACCCCCTCTTTTGAGCCCGTACGTGCCTCTCTGCTTCATCGCCATCCCTTGCCCACTCTTGAACAAGCCATTTCTGAGTTGCTATCAGAGGAGACTCGTCTAGGTACTCTTCAAACTCATCATGTGGACTCTGTTCTTGCCACTCCTCCGTCCCGGCCATCATTTACCCAGCGGACAACTGCTTGCCTCTATTGTCAGAATCGGGGCCTTCCTTCAAATTATGTGTGTACTTTTTCCTCAACTCTAGCTTCTGACAATGTCTGGAGTACAGCGGTGGCGGAGTTGACTAGTGGCAACGAAGACGATGTCGACGGGGATGGCGAGATTTCAGGCAAATCTTACTTGGTTTGATGCAAATCTTACTTTCTAGACCACATCTTTAAGAAGATCGGTGATTTTCCTTATATCATAACTGATTTTTTTGACAGATTTGTTTTTTGCTTGTTTTTTTTGTTGTCATATGATTTTTATGGCCCTTTGGGGTCTTATTTCTATATATATGTTATTATTTTCAACATAAATGTTTTCCATGTTCTCAAAAAATAAAACATTGAGGTGTACAATCCTCACTCCTCACCAATGTCACAATCATTATCACCGCCACTACCACAATCACTCCACTATCACTGCCGCCACCACTATTGCCACAACTATCCCACCATATCATCACAAACACAAACACCTCTACCGCCATCACACCACTACCACACAACTACTAGTGTTTCTACCACTACCCCTACTAGTACTCTCCGCTATTGCTGTCATCAGCCCTCTACCTCCACCATCATGCCACCATATTTTTGCCACCGTTATTCCGTTACCACCACTATTGTCGTCATCACTCAACTACTGCCTTTGCCAACTCTATCCTATCTTGCACAACCATCACCACCACCATCACCACCACTATTTTACCACCACACACCATACCACCACCACCAAAAATACAAAGGGTGTAAAATTAAAATTAAAAATTAATAAATTTCATTCTCCAACTTTTTTTACATATCAAACAAGATGATTTAATTCAGCACTTAAATTTCAAAAAATACCAAATAATTTTGAAGATTATAAATTCAATATTCTATTTTCAATACTTAATTTTCAAATTTCAATTTTATCGAACAACTAGAGTTCATCTGAAATATTTCTGTAATAAAAAGTGGAAACTGAACAGATTTTTTCTTCTTTTTTTTATAGGTAAATTACAAATACACCTTGAAAATTGACTGGGCGGTTATGGAGGTGGAGGCAACATGGCGGCTCCTCTCTTCTCCAAAATATCCTCATGTTTACAGTACGGGAAAGTATGGACTGCCAATCAATGGAGCATTGCTCCAAATCTTATCAAACTACAGACTACAGAGTTGGGGGAAGTTTGTAATTGGAAGTATGCAATAACGATCTTAGTACAATAAATCCAATAATCACCAAAAACAACATTAGCAGTACCAAAATTGGCAGTAGTGAGGATCAGATCAGATCAGAAACAGATTTCAGAATGCATGCATTAGCATCAGGTTTTAGGATCCTATTGTGTTATGTCAATTGTACATTGGATAGTTGGAGGGGTTTATAGGATCAGATCAAGGATTGAGAAATCCTACCGAAAAAGACTTGTCTACTTCAGTACCGAACCAGTAAAGTTAAAATTGTTGAGAACTAATTCATTATTACAATGCGCTTGAAATGCACGCTAAGAAACGTTGCTTCTGCTGGCCTTTCTATGCAACAGTCCACCAGTAGCAGAAGATAGGGTTACCATACATACAAGAGTCATCTAGTTCTTAAGGAAGCTCTTTCTTTCTTACCAGTCAAGTAGTACAACTTGACTGCGTGATCATCATGTTTTGTAATTGTCCTTCGATTTGAAGAAAAACATAAGGATACTATAAGGAATGTCCTTTAAACTACGGGTAGAATTGCCAAATGCAGGCTAATATTGATGACCAAGAAATATAGCAGAGCGACAATTGTTACTATCTTGACTATAAGGAAACATAATCCAAGCAACATATAGCACCTATATGGAGAGGTATAGATGTAATGCAGGAGAAACAACAAAAAACAAATAAAAATAAAAATTCTTATATATATGATTATGCCTACAGGCAACAATGCGCGCCTACTCCAGAGATGACATGTAATGTGGTTTACAATATTTTCTACTAGGATATTTCATACAAGGGCCAAGAAGGCATTGTTCCATTTCCTCCTTCAATTTTACAAATTGGGAATCTAGCGTTTATAAAATGGAATTGACTGAGAAAAATACAATCCACTAAACCAAAGCAAAAAAAAATGTCCCGTGTTTACAAGAGCATATGTTCCGTCAAGTCAAGAATATAACTTTTGCTTTATAAAACCAAAATTCCATTGACTAAATCCTAACCAAGCATAGCTTTATAGGTTGGATGGTTGACAGGTTCAGAAAGAGTGAAAGATCAATCAAACCCAACAACATGACAATTAATTCAATGAAGCTGCTCAGAGAGATATCAAAGTAACTGCTTATCACTCACAACAAATGTCAGGAATTTTCTTTTCTTTTTTGCTTTTTTCCCTTTTAATTCAACTATTTCTTGGTTAAGAGTTAAGACTAAGGCCTCGTTTGGGAACTGTTTCTTTTAGTCTAAAAGCCAAAAAGTTACTAAAAAAATCAAAAAGCCAACAACCTATACCAAAAGTCAAAGATTTCCTTTTCTCTCTACTTTTTGCACATCTTTTCGTAAAAAGTCAAAAAGTCATCCCAAACATACTAGTTTTTTTTAACTCATATTTTAGCCAAATAGCCAAAAAGTCACTAAATTAGCCTGTTCCCAAACGAGACCTAAGTGGAGAAGAGGTTGTTCAGTTTAAATAACGAAGTTTTATTTCAACCTGCAGTACCTAAAAAGAACGGACATGGGCATTGGCACAAAAATTTTCAAAAATATAAGGCATGACATGTGAGAGACACATGCAAAATTGTATGTCATATTATATATATAAGGATAAATAATTATTATATATTGTATGTATGAATATTTAAGTTAAAGATAATATTTTTTAAAATCTAAAGGAAGAGAATATGTATAAATTTATATTGTTTTTGTTTTATCATTAAATTTCAAGTTATTTTATTTTAACTTGTAATGTGTTTTATATGTGTCTAAGTGTTGAAAAGTGTCCAATCAGTGCCGTGTCATGTCACACATTACCTTCTTATTAATGTTTGTGCTTCTTAGTACAGTACTAATCTAATCCCAAGTGACTCTGTAATTCTTCTTAGATGGTTTGTTGTCTTTATCCTATTTCAGTAACATAATCAGTTTATAACTTGCCTCTTTGACAAAACTGCTACTTGGAACTCGTCAACAGCATGCAGGCAAGTTCACAATCAAAATGTACATGAATATATAGGCTCCAAAGAAATCTCCAACGATATATACCGAGGCAACTCAGATTTTTTTTCTCAAAAATTGGATGATACAATGCAAAAAGATTGTCTACAAACCTGGCCTTTTCATTCGACCAGTAAACTGGTTGGACCTAAGCTCCGGTTGCGAGAAAAATAGCTCATCCTCCGTGTTGTTATTAAACGGTGCCTTGCGCTTCCTAATTGCTGCTTCTGCATTCTGATCTTCACCCTCAAAATTCCACCGACTTTTATGACACTCCAAGGGATTATCAGTAGTAGTCTCCACGGGAAAGAATGAAAACTCCTTGTTGCGATGAGGAGACAAACTGCTTAAACCAACATTATCAGTTTCATGAGCCAAAACTTTTTCCGGGTTCATACACGGATCTTTAAACAAACCCAACCGCAAGGATAAATCAAAGCCTGTTTCGGGTGCCTTCTCATGGTTGTTTCTGAAATCAGCTTGACTGACTCTGTTTGATGCACTTTCATCTTTCTCACAGGAAAATAGGTTTTGCAAGCAACCCATTTTAGCAGGCTCCGTCATTGATTGAAAAACCGGAGTACCAACAATTATGGCATTTGGGTTTCTTGGGACTTGAAAGCCCATCTGGGGCATGGCCATTTCAGGTTGAAAATGGGGGCCGTAGTACAAGGGATAAACCGAACCCAAGTTTTGTGATTTGTTACTTTCCCATGGCATAAACCGATTGTTGCTAGAAGGAGGAACTTCCACAGATGGCAAAGGAAAATTGCATGAACTAGTGGGGTTGTTTCGATTTTTTTGCATTACATTTTGGGTAGATTCTATAACTAAATGGGATGAATTCACGGCCACAGGTCTCACGGGGGTTAATTGATTTCCAGAGTGGGCCGGTAGTAACTGCGGGCTTCGCTCAACGGTAGTGTTATTCAAAATTTGAGGAGGTATACAACCAGGTTCTTGAGTTCTTGAGCCGAGGTAACTTCTTGGACTCGCGTGTTGTTGGCTTCGGGATGCTCTTACTGGAACACAACCCAAATTAAGGGCAGCTGAACATCATGGTGAAGAGGTACAAAACACAAAACAAAATGTACAAATTAAATTTACCCATTTGAAAAACTGTTTCTTTGGGGTGTATATGTAATTTGCCCTTTTATTTATTTTTGATTAGTTTAAGATTACAAAAATCATAAATTTAACATAATTATATGGAAAATATTTGTAGACTGAAGGACGAGAAATTATTGATTGATTTTGGAACATCACATGGTCATATCTCATGTTAATCACAAATTTTCATATTTTTTTATATTTTTTAATTGCTTAATACAAAATGATAAGTCTTATTTTTTCGAACAATCACCATTTTTCAGGTCTATTTGAGGTTAAGTATTTCAAACTGTTTAAACTTTAGTGTCTCGAATAGATTATCCATACATAAAATTAGATTAATAAGATATTACATGTTTGAATTAAATATTACAAAAAAATAGACATCAAGTATGATATCAAGAATAAATTATATATAATTTTAGATTATATCTGATAAAGTTTTTTTTTTTT